GCGTATGCTTTCGACTGCATCGATCGCGTTAAACGCGCCGCCGCGAAGTCTGAACGCTGCCTAATGCAGTGGCAAGTGATACGCTTACGCGGTCCTGCGGTCAAATCCCGAATCAGCCCCTACCCAGGCCAACCAAGCTTTCTACTTTTGGGCGACGAATTGGTACCAGTATCGTCTGGGAGGATAAGAACACTGACTTGTACATCGGCTGGCCTCGCAAGTCATTGTATAGGCCACATCGCATTCAATAAGCCACTACGATTCTGAATGGAAGTAGAATGCGTGCCGCATCCCACAAAGGGATTGATCAACAGGCGAAGACTTTATCCTTTTTCCATTAAGCCCTTACCTTTACAAGATCCGTTGGACTAGCAGCGAACTGAGCAACAAGACCGGATGTCGCACCGCAAAGCATTGATTTCCACACCGGAAATGTTTTCTCAACCTGAAGCAATCACAAAGAAGATGAAAACTGTACATACTTATCACGTGGAAAACCTACGTTTTTCTGGAAAACCATACCCCTAAGGGACTCATACGCTCCCATACGTATTCCTGTATAGATGTAATGACGAGTGATAGCTGGTCCAACTCCTGTCCACAGGCTTAAGGCACCTTCTCTTCGAACAATATCATAGGTAACCCGGAACATACCTGAACATAACAGATCACTAGCAGCATGAGCAAATAGGTCTAATAAAAGAAGGGTTCAGGAAGTTTACCCCACTCTTCGACATTCGGCTGGATTTCAATGGATATTACCCTTCGGGGAAGAGTTGTGTGAAAATCCGTCCCCTGAAGTGGTTCGACGCCTTGACCACGAATACCGCATACTTGGCTCGAAACTGACTGTAAGCCGCACCAAAACACTTAAAAAACACCAAATCTGCAGAAAACTTGCCCGGAGTGCTTGACCAGAATGTAACATCGCTTGGCACAGGAACACCTAGTTTATGCGCTACAGGTGCTGGTGGCAATATTGCCGGCGTTTCGGGCGCCGATGCCAGATGTCTCAAAGGCACCTTCCACGATAAACTAAGGCTAGTATCTCATAAACGTGCATGATGATCAAGCAGGCAACAG